TTCAGAATAAAAAATAAGTTCTTTTGAAGATATAGTGAGGGAATTTCAAAAGTTTTATAACATAGGAATACCAACGTAAGCAACATGATATTTATTACAGTTTCATGGCTAAGAAGCTTATGGGTGCAATGTGGCTAAATGATACAAAAGATTACACATAGGAAGGTTATCAAAATAACAATGTAAAAAAAATTGCTAATAGCGTATCTTTGTTTGTACATTGACATATAACAATGGATACCTTCATGGGAAGGTCTAATCCCGATGATGAAGTATGCAAACAAACTCCTAGATCAGCCGATCCTGAAATTACCCAAAACTGTTAATATCAAATAATTCAACACAGTGCAAGACAATTTTTAAAATAAAAGAGAAAACAAAATACCTAGCAATAATGGATAATCTTCAGCAGATAGCCACATGGTACGAAATGCCACACGTTTAAGTTTCAATCTCTTTATTTTTGCCTCGTACTTTTCTTTTTCAGGACCTTTACCTTTTTCAATGAAGATCTATTGTTAAAACATTCTAAACGTTTCACAATATTTCAGAAGTATAAAACACAAATTATACCAGTAATGATGAATAACAATCTGGGATATAAACATTGTTTTCCATCGGATATTTCTTTCCAGATGACCTCCTCGTCTAATGAATCATCTTCACCTAATATAGCAGCAACACGTCTGTCATACATTACAGCAGCTTCCAAGAGAATGCCAAAATCTTCATCGGGAGTCCTGAAAGTGGCACAAACCACAGAAATAAATCACTCAAGTCTGGTAAAGTAGCCCGCTAATATAAATTGAGATTATCATAGTCAATAGAGAATTACTCTCTCTCTTTCTTTTTTGTTGTTCAGTTTTTTCCCCCACAGAATATCAATCTAACTAACTTCATAATATGCATCAAAAAAAGGATGTGGCCATTGTTAAAAGAATAAAAAGCAAGCTTAACATAATTAATGAAAGTTAACTTTATCTCACATTGAAGCAGAAACTGTATCGTACCAAGGTTTACAACAAAGAAGAATACAAACAAGTAAAATTAAAACATGCATACCTACCATTTCAATGCTACCAAAGGATGCACTTCGTGAGGATGAACTTACCAGCTCGTACTGCTTACAACAAGTGCCGGCCTGTTTGGCTTCAAATATATGTTTGAACCAACCTCCGTTGTAAACACAGTCTCATTTTGGGGATGACTACCCATCAATGGATTTCCTTTAAGAAGCAAACACATTAAAAAGTAATATGCCAATGACTAAGAATAATATATATCTAGATTGTAAAACCTATCTTACCATTACAAACGCAATCTCTAACACCAAGAGGCCGACAAAAGTCCTCATTTAATCTACAAAACAACTACAAGCTATCCACATTATATATGAAAATCTTTAAGAATGCTTGATAAGCAATGAGTTACTAGTCAACTAAACAACTAGATCACCTTATGCTTCTCCTCCAGCGAAGCTGGGTGAAAGAAGTCAGGAGACTGATCATACAAAACCGTAGCACTATAAAATTAAGAAATAAACATCAGATTGCTTCACAGTTCACAGCAAATATTTTATGTTATAGAAACAATATATTTGAACCTTTAGCTGACTCTCTTACTTAATTCCCCAGTTTTGAGCCAATTCATGCTGCATTGCTCTTGTGGTGAGACCCGATCTTTTTGTGTGTGTATAAAAGTTATTTATCTCATGTAAAATGAGATAAACATAACCCATAATTATAATAGTTAAATTATTTTTTTTCACTCAGTCAGCCACATTAGCCGACAATTTTTTGAGGAATGAAAAAATAAAATAGTTTTCATATTATAATTAGGGCTTTGTTAGTCTCATTTTACATATGATAGGTAATAAAAAAAATTTATATGTAACTTCAGTGTACAAGAATTTTATATTAACATCCAATAAGATTTTGACTCATTATTATTAATTTTTTATTTTAATTAATAAAAACATGATATGATACAATAGCAAATAATGATATATCAAATATTAACAAATGCCCAAATATTTTATACAAATATCAAATACCAAATACCAATTAAAAGGATTTGATATTTGTTAATATTTTTGATACAATTTTTAAAAAAAGTTAAAAAAATGCAGAGAGACATACATCCAACATGCCGCATCTAAAATTTTTGATTTTTTAATTCAGGAAAAAACAAAAAATCTAAAAGGTTTTGGATATAAAAGTTGGCAAATGTTGGGTGTTGATTGTTAGAGAAAAGGAAATGGGGGACAGAAACAGAAAGCAAGCGACAAAAGAAAATTAAAATATCAAATCCTTTTAATTGGTATTTGACATTTGCAATTGCGGAGCCACATGTAGTAATGTAAGTGTGACTTCGGTTTAGGTTAAATTTTAATAAATTGTATTTAATATATATAATTATTTAATTAATTATAATTTGGCACGAATTAAAATTATAATTTGGCCCGGGTTACAATTTGTAATTTGACCTTGTGTAAAATTTAAACTATTTTTGGTGAAAGATTTGGGTAAGTTATATTAGATTATGTGTCTAATTTTTATTTGTATAAAAATATATATTAATTTTTAGTAAAATTAATAAATATTCAATAAAATTATAACTCTTCTTAATACTACTTGCTTAGGTATTTTGTATTTAATATAATTTAAATATATTTAATATGAACTAATTAAAATTAAAAAAATAATATACATATAATTTTTTAGTCCGAACTCAAATTGGAACCTGATTCCACCACTGGATATTTGTATAAAATATTTGATATTAAGAAGAGTTATAATTTTATTGAATATTTATTAATTTTACTAAAAATTAATATATATTTTTATACAAATAAAAATTAGACACATAATCTAATATAACTTACCCAAATCTTTCACCAAAAATAGTTTAAATTTTACACAAGGTCAAATTACAAATTGTAACCCGGGCCAAATTATAATTTTAATTCGTGCCAAATTATAATTAATTAAATAATTATATATATTAAATACAATTTATTAAAATTTAACCTAAACCGAAGTCACACTTACATTACTACATGTGGCTCCGCAATTGCAAATGTCAAATACCAATTAAAAGGATTTGATATTTTAATTTTCTTTTGTCGCTTGCTTTCTGTTTCTGTCCCCCATTTCCTTTTCTCTAACAATCAACACCCAACATTTGCCAACTTTTATATCCAAAACCTTTTAGATTTTTTGTTTATTCCTGAATTTGTATAAAATATTTGGGCATTTGTTAATATTTGATATATCATTATTTGCTATTGTATCATATCATGTTTTTATTAATTAAAATAAAAAATTAATAATAATGAGTCAAAATCTTATTGGATGTTAATATAAAATTCTTGTACACTGAAGTTACATATAAATTTTTTTTATTACCTATCATATGTAAAATGAGACTAACAAAGCCCTAATTATAATATGAAAACTATTTTATTTTTTCATTCCTCAAAAAATTGTCGGCTAATGTGGCTGACTGAGTGAAAAAAAATAATTTAACTATTATAATTATGGGTTATGTTTATCTCATTTTACATGAGATAAATAACTTTTATACACACACAAAAAGATCGGGTCTCACCACAAGAGCAATGCAGCATGAATTGGCTCAAAACTGGGGAATTAAGTAAGAGAGTCAGCTAAAGGTTCAAATATATTGTTTCTATAACATAAAATATTTGCTGTGAACTGTGAAGCAATCTGATGTTTATTTCTTAATTTTATAGTGCTACGGTTTTGTATGATCAGTCTCCTGACTTCTTTCACCCAGCTTCGCTGGAGGAGAAGCATAAGGTGATCTAGTTGTTTAGTTGACTAGTAACTCATTGCTTATCAAGCATTCTTAAAGATTTTCATATATAATGTGGATAGCTTGTAGTTGTTTTGTAGATTAAATGAGGACTTTTGTCGGCCTCTTGGTGTTAGAGATTGCGTTTGTAATGGTAAGATAGGTTTTACAATCTAGATATATATTATTCTTAGTCATTGGCATATTACTTTTTAATGTGTTTGCTTCTTAAAGGAAATCCATTGATGGGTAGTCATCCCCAAAATGAGACTGTGTTTACAACGGAGGTTGGTTCAAACATATATTTGAAGCCAAACAGGCCGGCACTTGTTGTAAGCAGTACGAGCTGGTAAGTTCATCCTCACGAAGTGCATCCTTTGGTAGCATTGAAATGGTAGGTATGCATGTTTTAATTTTACTTGTTTGTATTCTTCTTTGTTGTAAACCTTGGTACGATACAGTTTCTGCTTCAATGTGAGATAAAGTTAACTTTCATTAATTATGTTAAGCTTGCTTTTTATTCTTTTAACAATGGCCACATCCTTTTTTTGATGCATATTATGAAGTTAGTTAGATTGATATTCTGTGGGGGAAAAAAACTGAACAACAAAAAAGAAAGAGAGAGAGTAATTCTCTATTGACTATGATAATCTCAATTTATATTAGCGGGCTACTTTACCAGACTTGAGTGATTTATTTCTGTGGTTTGTGCCACTTTCAGGACTCCCGATGAAGATTTTGGCATTCTCTTGGAAGCTGCTGTAATGTATGACAGACGTGTTGCTGCTATATTAGGTGAAGATGATTCATTAGACGAGGAGGTCATCTGGAAAGAAATATCCGATGGAAAACAATGTTTATATCCCAGATTGTTATTCATCATTACTGGTATAATTTGTGTTTTATACTTCTGAAATATTGTGAAACGTTTAGAATGTTTTAACAATAGATCTTCATTGAAAAAGGTAAAGGTCCTGAAAAAGAAAAGTACGAGGCAAAAATAAAGAGATTGAAACTTAAACGTGTGGCATTTCGTACCATGTGGCTATCTGCTGAAGATTATCCATTATTGCTAGGTATTTTGTTTTCTCTTTTATTTTAAAAATTGTCTTGCACTGTGTTGAATTATTTGATATTAACAGTTTTGGGTAATTTCAGGATCGGCTGATCTAGGAGTTTGTTTGCATACTTCATCATCGGGATTAGACCTTCCCATGAAGGTATCCATTGTTATATGTCAATGTACAAACAAAGATACGCTATTAGCAATTTTTTTTACATTGTTATTTTGATAACCTTCCTATGTGTAATCTTTTGTATCATTTAGCCACATTGCACCCATAAGCTTCTTAGCCATGAAACTGTAATAAATATCATGTTGCTTACGTTGGTATTCCTATGTTATAAAACTTTTGAAATTCCCTCACTATATCTTCAAAAGAACTTATTTTTTATTCTGAAATAATGTGCTTGAGTGCTTCATTAGAGTATCTCTATATGTTCAGTCTAATTTTGGATCCATTCCTCATTATTCTTAAGAAAATTTCTTGTGCCAGTTCTTGTAAATTGTATGCATGTGCTGGCTAACTTAATTTTTTTTTGTTGAGTGGGTTAAGGCTGCTCCTGTTTCTTCCCGTTGAGCTGTTTGAGCCTTTCTTTTTTCAGTTAATTCTTCACATGGGAGGAGTTCAAGTCAAATCTTGGTTTGGTTTCTTATGGCACTTTATTCATTTTCTGTTTATTTCTAAATTTTTCCGCTTTAACTGCACCAGGTTGTTGATATGTTTGTTGTGGACTGCCTGTTTGTGCCGTTTAATACTCTTGGTAAGTTATGTAGTGTATATGCTATGTACTTCCTCCAAAACTTGCTTGTGATTTGTTCTGAAATTCAACAGTATGTTCTTTTCATTTATTGGTAATTTTTTTTACTTTCTTGAAGCATTAAAGAACTAGTTAGAGTTGACAAAATTGGTCTTCTCTTCTCTACATCTTCAGAGCTAGCCGATGAACTTCTGGTAAGTTTGTTAATGATTACATGTACAATATTTGCTGGATAATGCACAATCTCTTTGAACTTGAGACATCAATAATAAGCAGAGTTGTTCATTACAATATCATGTATTTTTAAGGACATTTTTGTAAAAGGTCGCGGAGTGTGGAACAGCCTATTGATTTTTATATGCTTAGTATCTTGTTCTTGTAGAATATGCTGTCTCAAATTTGATACCATAAGATAGAGCATCTAGACACAAATGATACCCTTTTAAGAACTTGTGTGCAAAAAGTGCAATTTGTCCACGTATCAACTTGGCTCTGGCCACAAGGTGCTTCTAGTGGGTTTCAAATTCCTACACTGCAGGTATAGGCTGTCTACCAAGAGCTCAATTTACCAACTGAACCACTCATCATGGTTGTATGAATTATGAAAGATATTATTAAAGACACTAAAATGATCACTCTTAGCCATTTGTTGGCTTTGAGTTTTTCCATTCTTGTGATCCATAAAGATATTAGATGCAGATTGACATTATATCTTCCACTCCCCAATTTGACATGTGGATTACTTTTTCCAGATTGTTTTATCTGTTAAAAATTCTTGATTCATAAGGTAGACAGTCTAAATGTTCTATCAGGATACTATTAATTTAGACCTAAATAAATCTATCAGGATACTATTAATTTTTACCTAAATAAATCTATCAGGATACTATTGATTTTGACTTAAATAAATCTATCAGGATACTATTAATTTAGACCTAAATAAATCTATCAGGATACTATTAATTTTCGTATTGAGACAGACACGTTAGCTTTGCAAATCTATCAGGATACTAAATTTCTTTATTACTTTTTTTATCACTGTTTGATCCAATTTAAATCAACAATCTCATATATAATAATTTTTTGTTTTTGTTTTTATTTCTTTCTTTTTCTCACCTTATTATTTCTCTTTCTTTCAATCGTTAATTTAAATTTGATCGAAGGTGATAAAAAAATAATAAAAGTAGGAAAATTAAATAGCTAGGCATTATAACCATAAAAACATGATACGATACAATAGCAAATAATGATATATCAAATATTAACAAATGCTCAAATATTTTATACAAATATCCAGTGGTGGAATCAGGTTCCAATTTGAGTTCGGACTAAAAAATTATATGTATATTATTTTTTTAATTTTAATTAGTTCATATTAAATATATTTAAATTATATTAAATACAAAATACCTAAGCAAGTAGTATTAAGAAGAGTTATAATTTTATTGAATATTTATTAATTTTACTAAAAATTAATATATATTTTTATACAAATAAAAATTAGACACATAATCTAATATAACTTACCCAAATCTTTCACCAAAAATAGTTTAAATTTTACATAAGGTCAAATTACAAATTGTAACCCGGGCCAAATTATAATTTTAATTCGAGCCAAATTATAATTAATTAAATAATTATATATATTAAATACAATTTATTAAAATTTAACCTAAACCGAAGTCACACCTACATTACTACATGTGGCTCCGCAATTGCAAATGTCAAATACCAATTAAAAGGATTTGATATTTTAATTTTCTTTTGTCGCTTGCTTTCTGTTTCTGTCCCCCATTTCCTTTTCTCTAACAATCAACACCCAACATTTGCCAACTTTTATATCCAAAACCTTTTAGATTTTTTGTTTTTTCCTGAATTAAAAAATCAAAAATTTTAGATGCGGCATGTTGGATGTATGTCTCTCTGCATTTTTTTAACTTTTTTTAAAAATTGTATCAAAAATATTAACAAATATCAAATCCTTTTAATTGGTATTTGGTATTTGATATTTGTATAAAATATTTGGGCATTTGTTAATATTTGATATATCATTATTTGCTATTGTATCATATCATGTTTTTATTAATTAAAATAAAAAATTAATAATAATGAGTCAAAATCTTATTGGATGTTAATATAAAATTCTTGTACACTGAAGTTACATATAAATTTTTTTTATTACCTATCATATGTAAAATGAGACTAACAAAGCCCTAATTATAATATGAAAACTATTTTATTTTTTCATTCCTCAAAAAATTGTCGGCTAATGTGGCTGACTGAGTGAAAAAAAATAATTTAACTATTATAATTATGGGTTATGTTTATCTCATTTTACATGAGATAAATAACTTTTATACACACACAAAAAGATCGGGTCTCACCACAAGAGCAATGCAGCATGAATTGGCTCAAAACTGGGGAATTAAGTAAGAGAGTCAGCTAAAGGTTCAAATATATTGTTTCTATAACATAAAATATTTGTTGTGAACTGTGAAGCAATCTGATGTTTATTTCTTAATTTTATAGTGCTACGGTTTTGTATGATCAGTCTCCTGACTTCTTTCACCCAGCTTCGCTGGAGGAGAAGCATAAGGTGATCTAGTTGTTTAGTTGACTAGTAACTCATTGCTTATCAAGCATTCTTAAAGATTTTCATATATAATGTGGATAGCTTGTAGTTGTTTTGTAGATTAAATGAGGACTTTTGTCGGCCTCTTGGTGTTAGAGATTGCGTTAGTAATGGTAAGATAGGTTTTACAATCTAGATATATATTATTCTTAGTCATTGGCATATTACTTTTTAATGTGTTTGCTTCTTAAAGGAAATCCATTGATGGGTAGTCATCCCCAAAATGAGACTGTGTTTACAACGGAGGTTGGTTCAAACATATATTTGAAGCCAAACAGGCCGGCACTTGTTGTAAGCAGTACGAGCTGGTAAGTTCATCCTCACGAAGTGCATCCTTTGGTAGCATTGAAATGGTAGGTATGCATGTTTTAATTTTACTTGTTTGTATTCTTCTTTGTTGTAAACCTTGGTACGATACAGTTTCTGCTTCAATGTGAGATAAAGTTAACTTTCATTAATTATGTTAAGCTTGCTTTTTATTCTTTTAACAATGGCCACATCCTTTTTTTGATGCATATTATGAAGTTAGTTAGATTGATATTCTGTGGGGGAAAAAAACTGAACAACAAAAAAGAAAGAGAGAGAGTAATTCTCTATTGACTATGATAATCTCAATTTATATTAGCGGGCTACTTTACCAGACTTGAGTGATTTATTTCTGTGGTTTGTGCCACTTTCAGGACTCCCGATGAAGATTTTGGCATTCTCTTGGAAGCTGCTGTAATGTATGACAGACGTGTTGCTGCTATATTAGGTGAAGATGATTCATTAGACGAGGAGGTCATCTGGAAAGAAATATCCGATGGAAAACAATGTTTATATCCCAGATTGTTATTCATCATTACTGGTATAATTTGTGTTTTATACTTCTGAAATATTGTGAATCGTTTAGAATGTTTTAACAAGAGATCTTCATTGAAAAAGGTAAAGGTCCTGAAAAAGAAAAGTACGAGGCAAAAATAAAGAGATTGAAACTTAAACGTGTGGCATTTCGTACCATGTGGCTATCTGCTGAAGATTATCCATTATTGCTAGGTATTTTGTTTTCTCTTTTATTTTAAAAATTGTCTTGCACTGTGGTGAATTATTTGATATTAACAGTTTTGGGTAATTTCAGGATCGGCTGATCTAGGAGTTTGTTTGCATACTTCATCATCGGGATTAGACCTTCCCATGAAGGTATCCATTGTTATATGTCAATGTACAAACAAAGATACGCTATTAGCAATTTTTTTTACATTGTTATTTTGATAACCTTCCTATGTGTAATCTTTTGTATCATTTAGCCACATTGCACCCATAAGCTTCTTAGCCATGAAACTGTAATAAATATCATGTTGCTTACGTTGGTATTCCTATGTTATAAAACTTTTGAAATTCCCTCACTATATCTTCAAAAGAACTTATTTTTTATTCTGAAATAATGTGCTTGAGTGCTTCATTAGAGTATCTCTATATGTTCAGTCTAATTTTGGATCCATTCCTCATTATTCTTAAGAAAATGTCTTGTGCCAGTTCTTGTAAATTGTATGCATGTGCTGGCTAATCTTATGGCACTTTATTCATTTTCTGTTTATTTCTAAATTTTTCCGCTTTAACTGCACCAGGTTGTTGATATGTTTGGATGTGGACTGCCTGTTTGTGCCGTTTAATACTCTTGGTAAGTTATGTAGTGTATATGCTATGTACTTCCTCCAAAACTTGCTTGTGATTTGTTCTGAAATTCAACAGTATGTTCTTTTCATTTATTGGTAAGATTACTTTTTCCAGATTGTTTTATCAGTTAAAAATTCTTGATTCATAAGGTAGACAGTCTAAATGTCTAATCTTGAGCATACTA